ATGGCCTCGTGGGACAGAGGGCTGCCTGAGGGTTTCTTCTCTGTGACCCTTTTTGGAGATTGGTCTTTTTCCCACAGAGCAGTCAAACCTTTCAGTTAGCTGCACGTACCACCCGGGGCTTCTGAAGGATCTAGTTTAGATCCAATTTGAAACCTTTTAGCGTTTAACAAAGAAGTTCAAATATGGAGTTAAGGACTAACACATCCTAAACTGTAATTACCACTTTTACCAAAAGGAGGCAGGACTAGACTTCTCAGAGAGTTTGATTCCTTAAAGCCCGAGACTGGTAACGACAAGCAGCATGAAGAACATGTTCTAAAACGGATTGTGGTGCTGACCGAACAGCTCTCCGTGATGTGGCTGGATTGTGTGATCAGGTGAATTAATGCTACTAAAATTGTTCAAACAAACAACCCGAGACCTACAGGAGAAAAGTAGTGTTTCCATTTTCCCTTATTTTTCTATTTAGCTTGCTAAACGGTTTTTAGATCCCAGATGAAGAGAGAGGTGGGGCCTTCCTTCTTCTGCCATTCAGCCAGGGCTGCAGCTCTGGTGGGCACAATATATGTTTTGCTGGATTATATCAAAGTTTGATGTTCTCAAATTCACCTCTTTTGATAACAACCCTTTGTTGTTGAGATACAGTGTGAGGCTTCTCAAGATACCCGTTGTAATGTCTTACAAGTTGCTGGCAGAACTCTTAACTCGGATTCAGTTCACCTGAATTCAAATCCCCCTGTGCCTTTTAGTTCATCATATCTTTTTGTCATCTTCATTGTAAAATGAGGACAGCAATACCTCCTCCCAGATAGTAAGGGTTCAGTGAGGCGATGAACATGAGAATCCTCAGACACTGCAACTGAGGTGCAGAAGACGAGTCCCTTGCCAGAACGAGCGATCATTTTCTGAAAGGAAGAAAATTGGAGGTGGTTAGGCCACATAATGAAGACGCACCGCCTCAGTCTAGAGGAGAAGGGGGAGTTTTGAATTCTCGAGGGCAAAATCCTGTTTCAAAATCGAATTCAAATCTAGCAGAATTCAATTCTGTTTTTAATTGCAATAAGGTCTTCAAAATATTTTCTTTGGATCAAACATTATATTTAACCACTGATTGCCCACAGAACTCAGTAGCCAGAACAACCTACTAAGCTATACAAAACACAAATCTGGGCACTGGTTTAGGAAAGGTGGTGTGTGTATTTTCCTTTTGTCATCCTCTGGCTGAATTCAAGACGCTGTAGCTGCAGCCTTCATGCGGAAGGTAAACTAGCAATCAGAGGGATCCTGTCTCCCAAGTCTGGGGAGGCCGGAGGCCTTCGCAGTGATCCGGGCTATCAGTCTCCCGCTGGAGTGAGACGATCGGAGGGTTGAAGAGTCGGTTTCAGGATGATGTCATTAGACCAAGGAGTGCTTTCTGTTTGTTTGTTTTATGGTATTAACTTTCCCATTTCCTCTTTTCCCTTTGCTTAACACCCCAACCCATCTCTGCCAAATTCTTCTCACACACACACACACACACACACACACACACACACACACACACACACACACACGATAGTTCAGAAAAGTCATGAGGTATTTGTGTATACTTGAAATATGGGTTAAATAAGGGTGTTCAGTTTTTGTTTTGTTTTTTTCCTTGACTGGCCCATAGGATCTCTCTTTCCTCATCATGGTACATTTGAAGTTATAAAGAACACTGATATTGATATGGATAAGAAAATACCAGAAGATTACTGCCCCCTTGATGTCCAAATCCCTAGTGATTTAGAAGGATCTGCCTATATTAAGGTATCTGTCAAAGTGTTTTTTTTGTTTGTTTGTTTTAAAAAAATCTCATTAACTGGCCAGAAGCTAATTTACCTAAACTGTTTGTTCTTTCACGCTGTGTTGTCACACAGGTTTCAATACAAAAACAGGCTCCAGACATTGGTGACCTCGGCACAGTTAACCTCTTCAAGCGCGCTTTGCCCAAGTCCAAACCAGGTGTAGTTACATTCTGTCCTCTTACTTCTCCTCTTATGGAACCTACATTTGGGATCAAATGAACACAAATAGCGATAGGAAAATAGATGTTTGAATAAGAGAAATTAGAAATGTACTTTTGTAGCCTTTTATGTGTTGTAAAAATTCCATAATTGTTAAATTACATTAATGAATAGCTTTATAATATTTTTGAGGATTAAACTTAATGAGTTTTGTGTAAAAGAAAGAGTATACATATGCTCAGTGAAGTCTTGTTTGACCGTTTATCTATTCACATCACCATATAAGCCAGTTAATGAATAACATACTTAGATCATGTCGATAAATACCGCTTTCCTGTTTTTCAGGTTCCCCACATTGGCAGACGAAATTAGAAGCGGCGCAGAATGTCCTCTTGTGTAAAGAAATTTTTGCACAGCTGTCTCGGGAAGCTGTGCAAATTAAATCACAGATCCCTCACATTGTGGTGAAAAATCAGATTATTTCTCAGCCCTTTCCAAGTAAGAGACCAACCCCTGTGAGAGTTTAAAATAGGACTTTCTAGCTTAAGCAATCAGACTAAGTCGGGGAACAGTAAGCACAGAGGTAGCCAGTCAAAACGTGCAACTCAAACTGCACTGCTTGTGGAGGGAGGGTGGGGTGGAAAGGGGGAACCAATTACAGGGATCTACATATAACCTCCTCCCTGGGGGACGGACAACAGAAAAGTGGGTGAAGGGAGACATCAGACAGAGTAAGACATGACAAAATAATAATTTATAAATTATCAAGGGTTCATGAGGGAGTGGGGAGGGAGGGGGGGAAATGAGGAGCTGATACCAGGGCCTCAAACAGAAAGCAAATGTTTTGAGTATGATGATGGCAACAAATGTACAAATGTGCATGATACAATGGATTATGGGTTATGATAAGAGTTGTATGATCCCCCAATAAAATGATTAAAACAATAAAATAAATAAAATAAAATGATTAAAAAGAAAAAAGAAATATCAACGGTTAAAAAATAAAATTGAATGGGAAATAAAAAACCAAACAAAAAAACTGCAGTGCTCATTCTGTTCTGTGGCTTCAGCCATGTTGCTCCTGGTTTTAGAACAGCATGTGCTAGAAATTGGCGATTCGTGGGGCTCTAGCTCTGCCTTTGCTTTGATGTGTGTGTGCTAACACCATCGTGGGAGGTTTTGCAGGATGTTGACTTACTGTCTAAATGAGATCTCAAACAAAAGGTTTCGTTTATGAAATACGGTTCTTGGTAGAAACAGCATTTTAAAATATTTTTACAAAGTAGTTAGACTTACCTTGGAGCCCAGTTTGAGTGAATGTTTTTAAGTTCTGAGGGCTCTGTTTAGGTCGTCAGTTGCCTGGGTTCCAGAAGTGAAAAGGCCCGTCCTGGCTCTCGGGAGCAGGGAGGGATCTGTCTGAGCAGTGAGACCAGGACCGAGTCTGTGTTTTCATTTTAAAGCTGGAAGAAACAAGTTAGTGTGCAGGTTTTGTCCAGCTGCCTGGAGCCACAGGTCAAGGTAAATAGCCACATTGTAGGTCAGCAGACTCTAAATGGTTAAAATATCTGGTAGTTTCTTTTTCTTGCATTTTTTATTACCCCCTTAGTTTATAAAATAAGTATCATCATTCCTATTTTGGAAGTTTCTTATACTCATGAATAATCTCATTGTGGTGAATTCATGAAGATAAATAATTTGGCTCTTTCCATAGTGCAGCTTATTTTCACTTATCCCCGCTCCCATTTCTTTTTAAATAATAGGCTTGCAGTTGTCTATTTCTTTGTGCCATTCCTCAAATGACAAGAAATCTCAGAAATTCGCGTCTGAGAAGCAAAGTCAAGAGGACCATCTTTATGTTCTGGAACATAATTTGCATCTCCTGATGAGAGAGGTAATGGACTGAATGTGTTTCTTCGCGTGGTCGTGGTGTGCGTGTCCAGGGCCGGGTGTGCGCACGCCTCCTCTCAGTTGAGGCTTTCTCTCGCAGCAGCGTCAGTGCTCAGTGGCCCTCTGCAGTGAAAG